CATCTTTAAATAACAAACACATTATTTCTTACACAGAACTCCTTCAGCTTGATAGCAAAGATAACTGAATTTGATGATAGAAACACATAATCATCAAACAAACAAGTAAATAGTATTGAAAGTGTTATGAAAGAAGGACTTCAACAAGTCTATATACAAAACGTATCAGCGGTCAGAGTTCGGTCAACCTTCTTATTGCCTTGTCAAATAGTATTCCCTGATCAGATCACCAGTGTCTGGCAACAGGTCAACTGTCTCGAGAGCGGTCAGCTGTCTTACTGTTGGCCACCCTCTGCCTCCATCCATTCTCCAGCCACACAATCACAACTATATATATCCTCAAATTAGCCTGGAGACCATTATTGAGATGTGCTTACTTAACAGACATCCGAAGAAGATGAGGAACACACAGAGTTATCACGAGCCATCGCTCTTCATAAAAAATTGTCATCAAAATCCGCTTCTAATGATGGCAATTACAATGTGACATGTCCCTAACTTCATACAAACAAACTCTCAAACCAGATCAATTTCCACTCTTCTGAAAATATTTTTTGTCTACAACTACATTATTTTGCCAGGTTTTGAGACACCCTATTTCTTAAGTGTATCAGAAATACAGGATAGAAACCAGACAACAACATCAACACTACCTAATCTATAGTCAAAGTCCATCACACTTTCATCTATAGTCAAAGTCCATCACACACTCATCTATAGTCAAAGTCCATCACACTTTCATCTATAGTCAAAGTCCATCACACTTTCATCTATAGTCAAAGTCCATCACACACTCATCTATAGTCAAAGTCCATCACACACTCATCTATAGTCAAAGTCCATCACACACTCATCTATAGTCAAAGTCCATCACACACTTATCTATAGTCAAAGTCCATCACACACTCGTCTATAGTCACAGTCCATCACACACTTATCTATAGTCAAAGTCCATCACACACTCATCTATAGTCAAAGTCCATCACACACTTATCTATAGTCAAAGTCCATCACACACTTATCTATAGTCAAAGTCCATCACACACTTATCTATAGTCAAAGTCCATCACACACTTCATCTATAGTCAAAGTCCATCACACACTTATCTAGAGTCAAAGTCCATCACACACTCTTCTATAGTCAAAGTCCATCACACACTCATCTTATCTATAGTCAAAGTCCATCACACACTCATCTATAGTCAAAGTCCATCACACACTTATCTATAGTCAAAGTCCATCACACACTCATCTATAGTCAAAGTCCATCACACATTCATCTATAGTCAAAGTCCATCACACACTCGTCTATAGTCAAAGTCCATCACACACTCATCTATAGTCAAAGTCCATCACACACTTATCTATAGTCAAAGTCCATCACACACTTATCTATAGTCAAAGTCCATCACACACTTATCTATAGTCAAAGTCCATCACACACTCATCTATAGTCAAAGTCCATCACACACTCATCTATAGTCAAAGTCCATCACACACTCATCTATAGTCAAAGTCCATCACACACTCATCTATAGTCAAAGTCCATCACACACTCTTCTATAGTCAAAGTCCATCACACACTCGTCTATAGTCAAAGTCCATCACACAAAGTCCATCACACACTTATCTATATCACACACTTATCTATATCTATAGTCAAAGTCCATCACACACTTCATCTATCTATAGTCAAAGTCCATCACACTTTCATCTATAGTCAAAGTCCATCACACTTTCATCTATAGTCAAAGTCCATCACACACTCATCTATAGTCAAAGTCCATCACACTTTCATCTATAGTCAAAGTCCATCACACTTTCATCTATAGTCAAAGTCCATCACACACTCATCTATAGTCAAAGTCCATCACACACTTATCTATAGTCAAAGTCCATCACACACTCATCTATAGTCAAAGTCCACCAATCTATACATATCTAAGGCTCTAGAGCTTTTTAAAAGTGACCCCTTCCGAAAACCGAAAGTTGACATTTGACACAACATTTTCTTACTACTATCAATAGCAAAGAATGCAGTAAGCAAATGACCAAATATCACAACCCAGTATCTCCTGTTTACTGCCAAACTGCGAAAAATAAACTAAGTTCCAAAGCCCGAAAAATCCAGAAAAATGTCCGGAATGAATCCATAATAAAAGGTGCACATCTTCGACATATATATAAACATCCTACAAAGTTTCAAGCTTCTACGTCAAAAACTCTAGGAGGAGTTGATTCTACAAAACTGGTACCCCTTTTCCCCGAACGCCTGCCCAACCGCCCGCCCGACATTCACCATACCAGAGACGTATATATCACATATATGTTATATACGTCTCTGACCCTACTATAACCTGGATTTGCACCATGTGCAACCCGGCCAAAAACTCAACATGCCTGAAACTGAAAGAGAGCACAACAGAATTATATCCTTAAAGGAAGTAAATTGATTATCAATAACATGAATTTTTGTCTCTATTGTATATGCTGACATTGATTTTTCAGTGAAATGACAATGATCTCTATTACAGCATTCACTGCCACAGTTTCCAAAAATACAATTGTCCATCACTCTCGTTTCTAATAATTCTTACTGCAAGATACCTACACTGTATATAGGACCAGCCCGGGTTATGTTTGCCTTTTACAGATATTTCCGTCTGCCGCATCCCTAACAGCTTATAACTAGATCCTATTAGCAAGTCCATATAGTGGCCATTACTCACTGAAGCATTTCATATCACTAACTCTCCGCTTCACTTGCCTCCCCCACCGATATCTATCTGAACATCTGATGAGAATGTGTCTATCTGCAAGCCCTTATCTCCGATTCTAGAAAGCCTTGTTAGTTTGTTGTTATTTACTTAATGCTACGAAATGATACAGAAATATTCCAGTAGTTTCAAAAATCTCATTTCAAAAAATCTTCACTTTTGTTTACTTTTGTAAATTTTGATTTGTTGTTTAAACTCCAAAATAGGATTCAATATTCTATAGATCGCAAGCTCCCACTTGAAAAAGATATCTTTAAATATTTCTTTTTCTGAAAAGAAATCATAGCATTTTTTTTGTGATTCACAAAGCACGATGATAAAAATTGATAATGAAACATTTATTTAGCATTTCCTAAATGTGGATATTTTATTTTTCATCAAGAAAAGTCTTCAAGCTGATAATACTTAATAGGTAAACATTCTTCTTCATAATTACTGAAAAATATATATTTAAAATATGTATTTTTTTTTTTTTTTACCTTTTGAAAATTCAGAGTAAATTCACCACTAACAACTTTTAATCAAAGAAATAAAATCGTCAAATTTTTCATCATGAAAATCCATCAAGCTGTCAATACTTTTCCAAGAGCTAGCTCAAGTGTCCTAAAAACCTAACAAGGTTGTGAGAGAGATAACTTAATTAGACTTTGAATATCTACTCTGACTGGGCAGGACAACTCATATATGTCAGAAGGGTTTTGTAACATATAGGGGACCAGGGGCATAACTCTATATGTAATGCGGCCGTACACTGCTGACAAAACCATTTTTTTGATAATAAGATCACCAGTGACAATAACATTTCATTTATAGCACTTGCCATGACACCAACTTTGTGTAATGTGTTTTTCCAGACAGCTCTTTCCGCAGAATGGATAATAGATATGTTTTTCTATAATAAATTGACAGAGAGGAGATCTGTTCACAACTCCATATAGTCAAATATAGACATAACAGTATCAAATACCACTTCTTTTGTTGTTGCTGTTCTTAAAAAAGCTTGTTTTTCCCCATAACCCCAAAAATATTTTATAATTCTTTTTTCCCCATGATTGTATCTGTAAAAATTTTGTTTTCCAATTAAAAACTGTAAAGAAATCATTTATTATTAATTAAACGAAGAATATTCTGTTTATTGTAATATTGATAATCTTTTCAATTACTTACAGGACTGCCCGAAAACTGGAGACACTGATAAACAACATCAATTAAATACGCCACCAAGATTCTGACACAAGATATAGGTCACCAATATAGGCTATCAAGAAATGCTATATCATGTCATCGATATTTACTTTGTTTTTTCCAGAGTTGTTGATCCTGATGTTAGAAAAAAGATAAATGTTGATAAATGCATGTTTAAAGTGTTTTAGCCTTATTACCCTTATTACATTCAATAATAAGCCCATGCCTGGTAATAAGCCCATCTGTATCAATGGTGGTTTCAGTAGAAATGGTGGTTTCAGTAGAAATGATGGAAATTGAATTCTACATCATCGCCGAGACAGATCCCAGTTTCTTTAATGCTGTCTGACCTTTCCAGAGACTGTGAGCTGATTGGAGATTTGGGGAATGATATTCAAGGCTGTGTCTTTGTGAGGACTGAGAGCTGTGAGGAATGATGTTCAAGGCTCTGTCTTTGTGGGGACTGAGAGCTGTGAGGAATGATATTCAAGGCTGTGTCTTTGTGAGGACTGAGAGCTGTGAGGAATGATGTTCTGTCTTTGTGAGGACTGAGAGCTGAGGAATGATGTTCAAGGCTCTGTCTTTGTGGGGACTGAGAGCTGTGAGAAATGATGTTCAAGGCTCTGTTTTTGTGGGGACTGAGAGCTGTGAGCAATGATGTTCAAGCCTCTGTCTTTGTGGGGACTGAGAGCTGTGAGGAATGATGTTCAAGGCTCTGTCTTTGTGGGGACTGAGAGCTGTGAGGAATGATGTTCAAGGCTCTGTCTTTGTGGGGACTGAGAGCTGTGAGGAATGATGTTCAAGGCTCTGTCTTTGTGGGGACTGAGAGCTGTGAGAAATGATGTTCAAGGCTCTGTCTTTGTGTGGACTGAGAGCTGTGAGCAATGATGTTCAAGGCTCTGTCTTTGTGTGGACTGAGAGCTGTGAGAAATGATGTTCAAGGCTCTGTCTTTGTGTGGACTAATAGCTGTGAGGAATGATGTTCATGGCTCTGTCTTTGTGAAAACAGAGAGCTCTGGGGAATTATAATTAACTTACCCCGTAACAATTGGTGTAAAGAGGCTATCTGATCGTGATAATCCAGTTCTGTCTTTCGCAGACACAGTGAACACTGTGGGGAGTGGTACTTCATGAATACCAGACACAAAGTCTTCAAAGCAGTACAGTTCTGGTTCAGTACTACTGCTGTCTTCCTGACTGTAAACACAGAACAATATATTGATTTAATTATTTGGTAGCTATGTTTACAGATATTAAGTTATATAATATCATCTGTCTTTACCTTCATCTGACTTTACTGACGCCTGACTTATATATAAAATATAAATGAATACAAAAAAAAAGATTTACTCAACGACCTCCTGCTACAAAATCCTGACTGAATGTAGTCAAACAAATTTTTTTTAATGTTTGATAATTTGATTTAATTTTTGTAAGAATGCAAAATAAGGGTGATACAGAGATATAATCACAGCCTTCAACCAATGATTCATGATGGTCACAATCATAATTGGGTGGATTCCATCCTTGTTAGCCTAGATACCTAGTTCATGATATGCCATTAACGTCATGTTTAGAAGCCAGGTGTAAACGACAGGTGTCCCTATTAACAAACTTCCATGATACAGTGTATATCATTTATTCACAATCAGGTAGGGTTCCATTCCAGCTTTGTGATTAATTAGATATTTTTGACACTTTTCCATGTGAGAAAAAAACTATAATTAGTTAGCGGATAGTTTTGAACAAGTGTGATTACGAGTCACAATCTGTCGCCCACATGATTACGAAGTCAAGTAAATATGACAACCTACTCAACATTTACTTATCTAAATAGAATTTTTGAAATAGATTTAGGGTAGCAAGTATGAAAAAAAAACTGTACAATATTTTTTTTTTTGATGACAAATGGTTTAGATATTTAACAAAATGTGTCAAAAATTCTTTCATAGCATTGGATTCAGACTTTCACTTCCCTATAGAACAGTAAGGAACAAACACTGCAGTGATCACAGTACCATATGTATAACATAATGTTTAAATGTTCTACTATGGTACCATATCTATCTCACAATAAGCCTGGTAATAAGCCAATGCCTAGTAATAAGCCCATCCACCCATAGATATTCTTATTCAATAAACTTATAAACCAGTACTTTTAAATCACCTTGTAATAAGACCACTCCCTGACAGTGGGTGAGAAGTCAGGGGGTTGGTACCTTGAACTAATTACAGGGTACACACGGGATATATAATTAATATCGTGTATTTTGACCCTTAAGGTTAAGGTCATCAGTCAAAAGTTGAATTGAAGTCATTTCCTTTTTTGTTGTGATTTACACAGGATTCTTAAATTAGTTAGTAAGCTCAAACACAGTTACCTCCCTTTACTCACTACAAGGTTTTTTGTTATTATCTCGAAAGACACAGGAACCTCATCCTGTAAACCTAGCCTTTGAATTGTGAATAAAATGCCACTGGAAAAATATCTTCTCAGCTTAGTTTACAATGGTATGATTCACTTGTAATAACTTTGATAATTTTTTATCATATTTTTTTCATCATTTCAATCATTTTAAGACAAACCATTTCTGTGTCATATTCTTCTGATGCACATTTGATGTGTTGCTGGCTCAGTTACAACCAGAACAAGGACATTAAACCTCATCTATCAATCAATCTGTATCAAGTAGAATGAAAACATCATTAGCATTGGAAGATGCAATCACAGACTTAATATTCTTATTACTAATTACCTGATGACGTCCGGTATATCATATGCCTCAATAGTCTTGTCATATCTGATAGAAGAGACTTTATCATCAAACTTGTCCCCTTCTTCTTCTACCTCCTTCTTCTCCTCTTTCTCCTCCTCTTCCTCCTCCTCCTCCTTAATGCCATCTTCATCTGTCAATCTGTATGTATTACAAGTAAGATAGGGCTTACCACTGAAACCCATCATCCTACCAAGGGCAGACAACTCTGTGTACTGTGAATTATATCCCACAATGTTGGTGATATGAGGAGCTTCATCATTCAGATGACAGGACAATACTTGTGGTAGAGACAATGACCGCATTCTGTGTGTCGGTATATCTCTCCTCTCATCAATATCATCGTAGTTTGACATGATGAATCATACTTCAGACATCATCCATAGTGTCACCCTGAAAATCATAACAGTGAAAATGACTTAAAGATTTTAACTATATTGTATCTAAAAAATGAAGATGACTTTTTCATGATTTTTTGTCATGTTAAGTACATGGTGTGATTAGGAAAACTGAAAAATGATCGGTCAATTTTTTCTGTTTAGAGATTTAGATAAGAATGTGAAATTAACAATCTTCAGGTGATCATATGACAGCAATTGCTTCATCAACCAATCATTTCCATGGTTTCATCTTTCCACCCATTATGGGTTCAATCTATCAAATTTAGAACAACCCCATTAAGCCATCAAGCTAGACAGTACAAACTAAATGTGATATTTTCAATGCCTCTAGTCATGATAATCTGGCATCAAGCCTTTTGACACCTTGTACACAACATTATTGAACTTTGGTGTTACGTCATATTACTGTAAAGGCTATTTTGTCAATGATTGAAATTTTTTTTTTTTCAAAATATTTAAGCAAAAAGGCATTTTTTTTTAAAATAAAAGTCACGATATGGGCTAAAATTTTCCATATCAATTTAATTTTCAAGGTATTTATTTTTTATGTGATCACTTCCAAGAACAGTCAAAAATCAAATCCTTCTAACTGAACAGCCTTTACAGTACATCCTTTTCAGGGTAATTAAGTGTAACAGAGGATGGCACACTGGCCTTTCACCAAGAGGGCAGGGGTTCAATTTCCCAACAAGAGTGTGTTAAGGAATGAAAATGACTTACAGTAACAGACTGTGAAGTTGTTTTCCAGGCTACCCTTGTTTCCAAAAAATTTCATTCAAGTCATCAAGATTAATAACTATGGGTTCAGAAAGCTTGATTCATAATTGTTGTAAAAGAGTTTTTTTTTAAAGTTTGGTTTTAATTTTGAAAATTTGTCTTTGTTGGTTTTTTCTTTCTTTCTATGTAATTCCTGCTAAAAATTTATTCATCACTCCCAGAATCAAGTGAAATAAAAGATGAGGTTTTGATTATCATTTTCATTCTGCGATAAAACAGGCCAGTACATTATAGTGAGAGGATAGGCTTAATACAGGATGAAGGAACAAACAGGCCAGTACATTATAGTGAGAGGATAGGCTTAATACAGGATGAAGGAACAAACAGGCCAGTACATTTTAGTGAGAGGATAGGCTTCATACAGGATGAAGGAACAAACAGGCCAGTACATTATAGTGAGAGGATAGGCTTCATACAGGATGAAGGAACAAACAGGCCAGTACATTATAGTGAGAGGATAGGCTTCATACAGGATGAAGGAACACTGTTCATCTTTAATTTTACAAAACAGAACATATAAGTGGGCTTATCACTGGAGAGATATAGTTCATATTATTTCTCAGTAACAGCCTTCCTTTTTCTAAAATAGATATCAATTTGACAAGTTTTGATTTTCGACAAATTTTTTGCAATGATATCTAGGTAGTTATAGACCCAGCCTGGTAATATACCTTATCCATCGCTGCTCAATCGAAACACCAATGAAAACTCTTCTAATGATCTTTCATAAGTTGATCAGATTCTATAGTAAATAAAGATGTCTACAATCAACAGTCACTTGTTTCAAGAACATTTCAGCTTTTTTCTGAAAAAAATGTGACAAAATCTTCCTTTCGAGTGAATCCGAGATCAAATTGTGAACAAAATTTACAAAAATACCACAGCACTGAGGATGCAGATTTTAAATAAAACCTGTCTAGTATGGACACTAATACAACAGCCCTGAGAATGTACAGGTAAGATAAAACCTGTCTAATATGGACACAAATACAACAGCCCTGAGAATGTACAGGTAAGATAAAACCTGTCTAGTATGGACACAAATACAACAGCCCTGAGAATGTACAGGTAAGATAAAAAACCTGTCTGGTATGGACACAAATACAACAGCCCTGAGAATGTACAGGTAAGATAAAACCTGTCTAGTATGGACACAAATACAACAGCCCTGAGAATGTACAGGTAAGATAAAACCTGTCTGGTATGGACATAAATACAACAGCCCTGAGAATGTACAGGTAAGATAAAAGCTGTCTGGTATGGACACAAATACAACAGCCATGCGGATGTACAGTTGAGATCACACCTGTTTTTTTTTCTGAACACAAATACAACAGCCCTGTGGATGCACAGTTTAGATCAAATCTATCTATTCTGAACACAAATACAAAAACCCTGAGGATGTATAATGACAATAAAACCTGTCTAACCTGAGCAGAAGTACAACAGCCCTAAAGATGAACAGGTTAGATAAAACCTGTCTAAATTGGACACAAACACAACAGTCAAGGATGTATAATTTAGATAAAAACTGTCTAACATGGACACACATACAACAGTCAAGGATATATTATTTAAATAAAACCTGTTTTATTTGAGCAGAAGTACAACAGCTTTGAGGATGTACAGTTTAGACAGGTTTTACAGTAGCGTCCACTCATATTGATATCAAAAGTAGTCTGTTTAGAGTGTGTTCTACCTGTAAAATTTAGGTTTGCACACCTATAATTAAGACATCACACCTGCTTCATTCCTTTGTGTACCTTCTGCTCTGGTTGATTAACACTACACAATACAATCAATATTGTGCTAAATGTAAAATAAACTTGTAAAAGGCTTCCTTTGAATTCCAGCCATATACGAATGGTGGTTAATTAGGGGAAGCCGACATAAATGTAATAACATGAATTATTTAAAAAGATGCATAACGGAGGAAATGTTATTATCTAGTTTAATAGACGGATCAATAGCAAGGCAGGGTGTCAAACAGAAAGATACGACCATAATAGAAAGCAGTGTAATGAATCAATACCACATGGGCAGAATATTGGCTTATTTCTACCATTTATATCTGCTATCCACATCAATACATGTGGAGATACAACCCTTTTTACAGCTTATTAACAGACTTGTTTAACGTACATGACAGAATGTGTTTTATATAAACATTTTGATAATCATCCAAAATTGGAGGAGGAGACTTTCAGCTTGTTTATGAGATTAGGAATAAATTCTAGTTACTACAGTGTTAAAAGGTTGTCCAATTAATATTCAGTTTGAGTTTATTAAGTTGAAAGTCCCACTTCAGAAAACCTATATTGAGTGACAACTACACATATTGACAAACTCTCTTGAAGACTAATTAACCTCCGCTGAAAGACCATATACAGTATACCTGTCTAAATGGACCACTATGCAGAATGACAACCTTTCTTACAGTCCAATAACAAACAACCTTTGTATAAAGACAATATACAGTATACCTGTCTAAATGGACCACTATGCAGAATGACAACCTCTCTTACAGTCCAATAACAAACAACCCATAAAGAAAATATACAGTATACCTGTCAAAAAGGACCACTTAAGAGAGTGGCAACATCTCTAACAGACCAATTACAGACCACTGCTGAAGGATCATATACAGTATACCTGCCAAAAGGGACAACTTAAAACAGTGGCAACATCTCTCACAGACCAATTACAGACCTCTTCTGTAGGATCATATACAGTTTACCTGTCTAAAGGGATCACCATACACAAAGACAATCTCTCCTACAGACCAGTACAAACTATATTGTCCAGAAGGACATCATACACCAATAAGAAATTGCCTCCTGTGACATACTTCGTACATGTGTCTCAACAAATGATCTGAGTGATCTTAGAATCCACCATCGTCTGGTCTTTATTTCTTCTTTAAAAGTTGGGTTTTTCCTTCTTTTCTATTTATTCCTCCATTCTTGCTCTTAGTTATATGAAATTTGAAAAACCCTCTGAAGAAAAATTGACAATTAACTTTAATTTTCAAATTCAAGACGGTCGCCTTTCGTTCATTTTGGGTTTTTTTTTTATCAGTCCAAAAATAAAAAAGGAACAACTATGGTCCAAGGAAAACCTACACATGAAATTTGAGAAAGATCCACCCAGCATTTCTCAGGAAATAGTGATAAGCATATTTCATGGTCAAAATCCAAGATGGCCACATGTTTGCCCTTTTATTTACCTGATCAGCTTTAGAAATAAAAAGAAGACTCACCCAAGGACCTGGAGGAACCTACATATCATATGAGTCGGGTCAGCAAATTCTAAATGCAGAGGCATTTTTGTGCTGTACTTGGGGACACGGGAGAAAGAGAAAAAAAGATCTACCTCCATTACTCTATCTAAATATTGATCTACTCTTCTATTTTGAAGATATCTCTCATTGGCACGAAGAATAGAAAAAAATGTCTGACCTGACTGGTCACACATTGTGAAAAACACTTGAATCTGATATTCTGACCAGTAGTACCTGGTGTTGATATTCTCTGACCAGTGATGGTGGTAGTTTCTTTGACCAGTGACCCATAGGAAATTCATTGCCTGACCAGATATAGTGTATGTGTTTCACCTCTGTGACCAGTGTATGATGTCACCATCTGGGGAATTGGTCTACTAGTTAAAGAATCTCATCCTTAATTACCAGAAAAAAAATTAATCACAAACTCGAGTAAATATATGAGTAAAAAGTCTATACATAGTAGGAATTAATTTCTGGTATATGGTTTTATATTAAAGCAATATAACCTGCAATTTGTGTCTCTGTAATGCAATATATCAACTAAGATTTATACAATTTTTCTGACATACAATGGGAGAATATTTCAAAAAGACAACTTCTGCCTGCACTTGCACTGGAGATATTGTATTACAAAGAGTCAGAATTAAAATTCTAAAAATAAGTAGTTTCCTACAGTGGATTTTTTTATATAAGATATTAATGAACATATGAAAGTCTAAGATGTAAAGTTCCCGAGCGCAGAGGGAATATCATTTGGCCAAGAAAACATGTTTGGTAGTCAGTAATGAATTATTGATATTGTACTGTAAGGTCTCTTATCCAGATCTATTGATTAAGCATGTACAGGGCACCTGCCTCATATAAGTCAAAGGCTTATGGGCTTCAGCAAGTCTAC